TGCGCCTGGACTACAACCGCTTTCGCCGCCTCAATCATACTATCTTTGCCCCTTTATCGAACCTTACCGTGTTGTCGTTCATCCACAACAGGCTGCTCTCACGGTCAATGTTCTTCCTTCGACACTTGGGCCAACTGCAACGCCTCGATGTGCGCTTCAACGATCTTACGCGCCTGATTTCCCGCGCGTATTGGCAGCTGACCAGCCTCACCCACTTGTGGCTTGGGGACAACCCCATTGGCCGATTGCCTCAGGACCTACTCGCCAACATGACTCGCCTCGACGTGATCGATATCAGCTCTGCACACGTTTCTTTGGTGCCTCGCGGGTTTCTCAGCGACAACAAGGTGTTGGGAAGGATTGATCTTGCAAACAATCTCCTATCGCGGCTTCCCGCTCACCTTCTCAATGGCCTGACACATCTGCACACGGTGCGACTACGCAACAACGTCATCACAACCTTGCACCGAGACTTCTTCAGAGATGCGCATGCTCTGACTACTCTGGACTTGTCGAGAAACGGCTTGGGCGGCCTCCACCCCACGCTGCTCAGCAGCTGCCCAGGTCTTACAGAATTCAACTGCAATCACAATGAGCTGCGGCTCCTGCCGCCCCTGTTCTTCCAAAACAACACCAATGTGACACACGTACGCCTCAGCGACAACGCCATCACATCGCTGGAGGGCGTTCTCCGTGGCCCCCACCAGCCCCATGTGCTTGATCTCCAGAACAACCACCTCACTTCATTGCCCATTGACATGGATGTGAGCGAGTTGCAGCAGCTCTTGCTAAGTGGCAATCCTCTGGTGCACCAGCCGAGCACAGAAGGAATGGTAGCCTTGCACACGCTCCAAATGAATGGGCACCGCATCTCCCGTCTGGATCTCACCCCAATTCTTGCTCTTGACTCCCTGACAACACTTGAGGCTGCTGCCGCAGACCCATCCATCGGGTCAACACTTGCGGGTGTCAACTGGGAGAGGATTCCGGCATTCTCAGGCACCAAGTTGCACACGCTCGTCTTGACCAACGTTGCTGCGAGGGACTTCCTGCTCGCATCCCTCGGACGCAAACCACAGCCCACGACTCCCCTTGCATTGAAGTTGCGTGACTTGCGCCTGGGCTGGCGCGGCTTCAGTGAAGCCGACTTCTCAATGGAGGACTTGTGCACGCTCCTGGCCGAGGAGGTGCTTCAATTCAGGTTGACTCACACTGACTTTGAGGAACTGAAGCTCTGTGAGGACGTGGAGTTCCAGGCCGTACACCTGCCCAACAACCCACAGTTGACATCTGTCACTGTGCCGAACGAATTGCTCGAGCTCAACGTGGCAGGAAGCGCGAAACTTTCGATAATCAGTGGGCAGAATATTGAAGTGTTGGACATTAGTGGCACATCTGTCCGGGCATCCATCACCCTGTGCACACACCATGGGCAGCGAGTGCTGTTTGCACGCAACATGGCCTTGAGGCCTCGGTCAATCGAGGCCGAAATACCCGTGCTCGCGGTGATGGAGCGGTGTTTGCGGCTCGTTGATGTCTTGGATATATCCGGCAACAGCTGGATCACCAGGGCTAATATCGTGTCTCGTTATGCAGGCTTGCCCATTGTGATTTCTGACCATCCCGTTCAGAGCATTAGCGGCGCCAACCGCCCGCACAATGACCGCGCACCCATCTTCCAACTGCAGGTGTGTGTGTGTGTGTGTGCGTGTGTGTGTGTGTGTGTGTGTGTGTGTGTGTGTGTGTGTGTGTGTGCGTGCGTGCATGAAAACAAAAGGTCACTGAGCAGGAATGCCTGCAGATCGTTGTTTAAGCCTTCTCTAACTCTGTCTTCATGCGCCTTTGCTCGCTGTCACTCGTGCAGGACACGCCTGTGCAGTGCGAGGTAAAGTTCACAACGGAGGACCTCGTTCCTCGGGAGCAGGCACAGGCAGGTGGAGCTCTCCGCCCTGTAGCATATTCCGTGTACTCGTTTCAATGCACGTGTTCCCGCGGGTTTCATATGAGTGGCGGACAGTGCGTCCACGACGATCGTGAAACCGTCAACATCGCAATTCTCTCCGTCTTTGCTGGCCTGGCATTTGGCTTGCTCATGGCCTGGCTGTCACGCCGCTACCGTGGGCTCACCAAGCGCATTGGCCTTCAGCAGCAGCTGCTGGTGGAGATGGATGAGGAGGTGATGGCGCTGAAGAAGGCGTGGGAGATTGAGTTTGGTGAGCTGAGGCTTGTTGAGCGTGTTGCTGCGGGTGCCTTTGGCGTGGTGTTCAAGGCAGAGTGGGACACCGTGACGGTGGCAGTGAAAGTGATGCAGCAAGGTGTGATGATGTTTGACGAGAACACGGTGCAGGAGTTTGAGAAGGAAGTGGAGTTCCTCCAAAAGACACGTCACCCGAATGTGGTGCGGTTCTTTGGCGCGGGCACAGACCCCAGCGGCAGCCCGTTCCTGGTGCTGGAGTTTGTGGCGATGGGATCACTCAAGGACTTGTTGCGGAAGGACATG